CTGTTCCCTGCCTGGCTAAATAACAAAAACAAATCCCTAAAAAAGCCATGTCACACCATTTACTTTTTTTTTTTTTTAAATCAATAGATTTCCCTATTAAGAACAACAGGTAGTTTGCCTAAAATCAATGGCACAAGACAGCCCACAGACTGGAGTATATTAAAAAGTTAGGTCTGTGCTAAGGATTATAATTTTAAAATAAGCAAAACGAGGTGAGTGCAGAAGTAACACACCGTAACTTTGCATATTAAAATACTAAGAACCCATTTCCTGTCTACAAGTTGTACAGCAACATGTCTCTCTTGAAAATTTTATAAATACACAGTTTTCTTCAGTATTTCACTATTGCTCTAACAGTAACAACAACAACAATAATAATTCATCCAGGCCCAGGCTGGGAATTGCTTATGCATAATAATGAGTTAGTTTTTACTTACTAAAATTACCTTTATCTTTCATAAAAATAAGATGTTTTAATTTAAAAAAAAAAAAAGGCAAAACAATGTTTCTTTTATCTCTTAAGCCAAGAATCGACTAATGCATCTGTAACCATTTCACTCAGGTACTGAATTCTGCTTTTAAGATGGGGGTCAATGCATATTCTTAGCATGCTTATCATAAAAGTCCCACTAGTAAATGTAACAGCCCCAATCTACACAGTCAATCCAAAACTGCTGTAAGACACTTTTCTGCAGCACAATGTGGTGGGGTTTTTTGGCAAAAGGAGAGGCTAATTCAGGTTGGAAGGGACCTCGAGAGGTCCCCAGTCCAACCTGCTCAGAGCAGGGTCAGCCCTGGGGTCAGACCAGGTTGTTCCAGCCAGGTCTTGGAAACCTCCACAGGTGGAGTCTGCACAACCTCTCTGAGCAATCTCATCTACTGCTTGGCTGCCCTCACGATGAAGATGATTTTCCTTATATGCAGTCTGAACCTGTCTAGTTTCGTCTTACGCCGGCTGCCTCGTGTCCTCCCACCATGCACAGCTGTGAGGAGCTGGGCTGCACCTTTGGACAACCTCCTTGTCCTTGAAGGCTGCTCTTACAGGAGGAGCATCACCATGCAACGTCGTCATGTTGTCTTCTGTCAGCGTGCCTGTCTCAGGTTTGAACCCTGAGGGATACATGTTAGGTTTTTTAAACCATACCAGCTAAATTAAGACTCCCTCTATGCTTTACCTCATACTTTGGGAAGGCAGCAGCCATGGTTACCTGCCATCCTGTCAAAGCAGCAGTGTTATC